GGGAGGGCCTGCTAGGCCAGGCCACCTCCCGTTTTTGCCAATTATGAACCGGTAGGCCGTGGAAAGCATAGTTTACTCAACTTTACTGTTTTTCTTGCTGTTTCGAACTGCTCACGGCCCAATCTTGCAGTGGACTGTTATTTCTGCGAATTCTGAACTGTGCAGCGGTCACAGGCGCAGTTTTTTCTAAAGTGTGATTTCCTTTTCTATTTTAAGGCAACCAGGGCAGTGTACCCATTAAATCCGAATGGCCGGATGTCCGTCACAAATTTTCCCGGACATCCGTAGAACAAAAAAAAAAATCTAGGCTACCGGCCGGGCCGCCCGGGTCACTCTATTTTCCCCGTCGGCCTGGCCGTGCAAGGACCAGGGAAGGTCGCAGCCAAAAAAACAAACAAACAAAAAAAAATCCAAAAATCCAAAAAAAAACTATGCCATGCAGAAAAATAAACTGAACAACTTTTGCCTCAGGGTCACATCGAAATTCCTACCAAATTTAAAATACAAATTTAAATTTGAAAATAATAATTTAACAATTGTTATTCTTATTTTTTTTATTTCTTTTTGGCCCAGCCGGGCAAGTGGACCGGGGCACTCTGGTAGCTTAGGAAAAAATGCAAAAAATAAAAATAAAAATGATAAAATTTGAGAAAAAGATATGGCCTAGAAGTCCTCTCAATGTGCTTCGAATAACTTTTTGGGCCTTCGGTAAATTCAAATGCGTGGTGATAGCGAAAAAAAAAACCTGAAAAAAAAAACTATGTGGTGGTTGATTGGGTGTGGGGCTGGGGCTCGGGCACTTGATATACAGAGGCGGCGCTAGATGTCAGATGGTGACATAATGATGTGGCTGCTTCTGTGAAGTTCAGCTGAGCTGCCAATCCCTCGCCGCATGTTCGAATACAAGTACATAGCGGTGAAAGTTTTTTTTTTTTTTTTTGTTAAACCGGACGCTAATTCTTTGAAGCCCAACCAATTCAAATACCTGTCGAATCTGGCGAAGGCAAATGAGTCCGGTGCGATATGTCCCATGAGGGCAAACACACAGCTAGTAGTTCATGCAGAAGATGAACACACATACAGATTCAACAACTTCACGCAAACGAGACTTTGAAATTGCCGAGATAAAAGGTCGTGAAGTCCGCAGCCTCCAAAGCGTACGCGCACAAGAAACGCGGGTACGTCCTACACACACGGAAAGTCGTCTACATTTCGACGCTTGAAGAGGTCTCATCCTGTGTACCATCGCTGTCTCTTATACACATCTAGATGTGTATAAGAGACAGAGCGAGATGAGAAGAGGGAGGGCAGTGACCAAGGG